TATAAAACACACTTTCTAGGAATCAAGATGTTTCAACTTAATTTCCGAATTTGACCAAATATGGATCACTGTCCTTTGAGTCCCAATAAAAAAAAATACATGGTATAAAAACCAAAGAAACAATATGGAATCCTGCAAGTGGCTTTTGAAAATTATGCTTCATTACTTATGTTGTCACACATTATGTTTTACAGAGACCCTGGAGAACAAAAACAAGAAATAAAGCTCACTAAAAACAGAGGTGATTATCTTGGGATGAAAAGTTAATGAAAAACTTCATACACAGAAAAAAAGTATCTTAAGGAAACATTTGTCTTCCATATTATACATGTGAAATTTCTCAGGGCAGCCTGGAGGCTGCTCTGTGTGTCCACTCCTAAAGCAGGCAAGAATTTAACTGGAGAGGTACAGGGTGATGGTAGCCATTTGCTGATATCTAGAGACACTGAAGACAAGAGTACAGGGCACTGAGAGATTAAGTTAGAGTTCACTACAATTCTATAATGTATTTAAATAGTCACCATGTTCAGAAACATTTTTCTAACTTTTTCATTGAGAGCATGCACTTATTTTATTCCCACGAATAACTAACTTGAATGTTTTTCTCTAGAGCTGTAAGTCACATAACTTACATATGTGGAACTATATATAATGCAACACATTATTTTACTTAAAATGAATTGATTGTCCAGCATATTCAAATACGCAACCATAAATCAATTTTACAATGTATTGTAAATTTACAATGTATTGTAAAAATTCCATTCCATTGGAATGTTGCCACAAGTAATACATTTCTCAAACAAGAATGATAATGAAATATGGATGGGATTAACAAAAATCTTTTAACATTATAAAAATATGTTAATTTTTATATTTCTAAAAGCTAAACAACAGTTATAGGTTGCAAATCTAATTTCTAGTTTATTCTTGGCAATGGAAAACATTTTTACGTCCTATTTTGAGGAAATGATGTATTTTTAAAGTAGTAAAAGAAAATTCAAGTTCTTAGAACCAAACTAAATGAATTTAATTTAATTGTTGATTATAATAACTCCCTATTTAGACTATCACTTTTACTAAAAGCTGTATATGCAAAATGCTTCTGGATTAGTGAACTAGGTATTAAAATATCTTACTTAAAAAAATGAATCTGTGTCTATATACTGTCAATAAACAATAAGATACAAGATATAAAATACATACTGTCAATAAACAATAAGATACAAGACATAAAACACAATATTTAATCAAATAATTTGCAAAGTCAGGAAATGACACAACAACTATGGTTTTAATGAAATTAGAGTTGTTAAAAAGGTGAGCTATTGCTTGATGACCTGTGATATGGGGAAAAAAAGGTGATAATGACTTGAAAGAAAAACACATATGGGAACCAGGAAAACAGAAAAACTGATTTTATTTCATAGTTTTAAAGGGAGGTCTATTATTCATAGACATTATAGCTGTATCACTCAAATCAAACACATTTCGGAGTTAACAATAAGCCAATATATTTGAACCACAGGAGAGATAGTAAACCTCTCATAAGGAGGAAATGACTTAAAAGATGGCCCGGCTGACTTTTGTTAAAAAGGCATTGTGCCACTAAGGACTTATCAATGACTGTTCACTTTTCTTAATGGCATTTTGTCATTTTACATTAATTATCATCCTATGAC